AGATGAGAGTATGTTAGAGAGAGACGAGGAGAGAGAGAGATGAGATGAGGACGAGAGAGAAAGGAGAGAGAGAAGAAAAAGAAAGAAGAGAGAGAGAGAGAGAGAGAGAGAGAGAAGAAAGAGAAGAGAGAGAGAAGAAACAGATAAATTAAATATATATTCATTGCGTGGTTGTTTTACTTTCTATTTTCTTGTCTTATTAGGACAAATGATTGTCGTGGCCAATTAGCTTAATTATATGGAATCTGGGAAAATGTGATCGCAAAAAAAAGCCACTTTAGGTTGCGAGGAAATAGTAATTGTGGATTTATAATTTATTTTACGGATGAAACGTAGATCTGAAACCCTGGGCTTTTGTTATGGCGAAAAGGCGGGATAAATAAAAGAAATTATTGAGAAAGGAAAATATCCTCCCCCCCTCAAAAACAACAATAATTAATTAATAATAATAATAATAATAATAAATAAATAATAATAATAATAATATAATAATAATAATAACTATAATTATGATAAGTCCGTATCCCTTAAAAAAATGTGTCGAACCTTCAGTCAATCAATCATCACATTTTAATCAATACAAAGATGACTGACACAAATAAAAGATTTTCCCCAAAAAAGGAAGCAAAACTTTTAAAGCCTAAAACATGACAACGCTCGAGAGAAAAAAAAAATTAAAATGACTAATACGTAATAACTATCAAGGAGGAAAAAAAAAGAAAGTATTAACGACCCCGAGAAAAGTATCCGTCCACAGTTTTGAAAAGAAGAGAACGCCCGCCATTTTCGGTCAATTTAAGCGACTCTTAAATTTTCCTTAAGTGCCAATTCGGACGAGGATTTAGACGAAGATTAAGATGAGTTGCATTATGCCCGCGGTCTCTATGGCCTCGGGGGGAGGGGGAGGGGGAGGGCGGGGCGGGGATCGGGGGGGGGGAGAGGGAGCAGGTGAGGCTGGAAAAGGCGGGAAAAAGGAGGAGACATCAATCAATATGAATCTCATTGTCAAACTTGGTAATTGGATGAGATGAGAGAGAGAGATGAGAAGAGAGAGAGATTGAGGGAGAGGAGAGAGAGAGAGACGAGGAGATGAGAGGAGAGAGGAGAGAGGGGAGAGAGAAGAGAGTAGAGGAGAGGAGAGGAGAGATGAAGAAAAGAGAGGAGAGAGAAGAAAGAGAGAGAGAGAAGAGGAGAGAGAGAGAGAGAGAGAAAGAGGAGAGACAGAGAGAGAGAGAGAGAAGGGATGAAAAGTGATAGAGAAGAGAGAGAGAGAGAGAGAGAGAGAGAGAGAGAGAGAGAGAGAGAGAGAGAGTAGATGAGAGAGAGAAGGAGAGAGATGAGAGAGAGAGAGAGAGAGGAGAGAGATGAGAGAGGATGGTTCAAAATGAGAAAAGACGAGAGAGTAGGATGCCAAAAAGTGAGAAAGAGAGAGAGAGAGAAAGAATAATGGATAAAAGAAGTCGGGAGAAAACGCAGGTTCCATTTTGCGCCAAGTGTGAATCGTCGGTTATGAAGCGTGAAGTGTTGTCAAACAAGGCCTTTCTCGTTGTCGCTCCAAACTAGCCTTTTCGACTTTACGAAAACGCTTTTTTAATTCCCATATCTTCACTTTTTTCCCCCTTCCCCCCCCCTCCCCCTTCTTATGCCATGGACTGAATATTTAGCGTATTCTCCAGTAATGTCTGTCTCGTTGCTGTACATTTACGTATTTGCTACCGTTCCCCGACCTGCAGCAATAGTTTTGTTACACGTTTTCTCTCTGGATTTTCATTTTCTGTTTTTCGTAGCCGGGCAAACAGTCCAAGAATGACAGAGCGTTGGAATTCATATGATTTTATGCTTATCTGTCTGTTATTTTATATATATACGTGTGTACGTACATATACGTTTATCTGTATAAATGATTAGTTAATATGTATATGTATTTCTGTCTTTCTGAATGTATATGTGGAGATATCTATCTATTTATCTATCTAACGGATTTACTATCTGTGTGTATGCATGTGTGTGTGAGTGTGTGTGTGTGTGTATGAGAGAGAGAGAGAGAGAGAGAGAGAGAGAGAGAGAGAACAAGAGAGAGAGAGAGAGAGAGCGTCTGTGCGTACGCACTTGCTTGCTTTCGCGGAATCATTACCAACATCAATGCATTTCCTCCTCCCTTTCTTATCATTTCTAATCATTTCTTAGCTCTTTTTTCCTTCGCCAAATCTCTCTTAATCCGGCCATTACGAGACCCTTTGTTTTAATTTCCCGCGAGAACTCAGTCGCTCGCAGTCACCCGCCGACTCTAATACCCGGATGACGCGCGGACTCGGGTGCCAGTTATTCTTATATCTCGACATTTTATGTTTTTTTTTTCTTTCTTTCTTTTAGATGTGTGAAGAAAGATTAGGAATGGGAGTAGTCCTTGCAATAGTAGCAAAAGTAGCGGTAGTGTTAGTTCTTATATTTCGACATTTTACGTTTTTTTTCTCTCTTTCTTTCTTTTTAGAAGTGTGAAGAAAGATTAGGAATGGGAGTACTACTGCAGTAATAGTAGCAAAAATAGCGGTAGTGTTAGTGGTGATAGTAGTAGTAAAGTAGCAGCAGTAGTAATAGTAATAGTAGCAGTAGTAGACATAGTATTAGTAGAAATTGTAGTAGTATCAGTAGTAATAGTAGTAATTTAGTAGTATAAGAGCAGTAGTAATAGCGGCAGCAGCAGTAGTTGTAGTAGTGATAGGGTTTTTGCTGTTTCCATTGCTATTGACAGTGATATTGATATTATTACAACTCCGCCTCAGCTCCGTTACTGGTTACGACAAATGCTTTGTTTTTTGTTTTTTCTGTCTCTCTCTCTCTCTCTCTCTCGTCTCTCTCTCTCTCTTCTCTCTCTCTCTCTCTCTCTCTCTCTCTCTCTCTCTCTCTCTCTCTCTCTACTAACAGTAATTCAACTACTGTTACTATTACCACTGCTGTTCATTGTTCTAATTACCCCTGTTCTATATCCTTATATATTAATAAAATCTTCAGCCGTGTGTAATTCCTATTCTTTCCCCTTTTCACGTTTTCCTTATTTTCCTTGTTTTGTTTCCCCGAAAATGCTGTTTATGTTCACACTTTGTAAGGAAATTAAAAAGTATAATTCCGTAATTGCTTGTTGCATAATTTGCCTTTTCCAGATGAAGGCATTTTCGTCCTTAACTGCTCTTGTGAGATAAGCATATCCATTTCATAAAAAGGAGTGCATTTCATAAACTTTTTCCTTTAAAGAAAGTGATGGTTATGGAAAAGAAAAATGGTTATGGTTTTGATAATAATTTTCTTTCTTTTTTTTTCAACGACATTCAGATTTTTTTCTTACTGTTATCATCTTAATCTACATTCTTTTTTTTTTTTTTTTTTGTCTATTCATGACTTTTCTCCATCTTTTTTGCACTTTCTTAATAAATCTGTATCAATAACACATTCTTTTAAAATATCCTTTACTCCAAAATGGATCTCTAAAGCCTTGAAATATTTGTCTTGCTAAATTATCCGTTAATTCCTAAGAAAACGTTACAATGTGGGACAAGCTTATCAGGAAAAATTATTATCATGGAAATCTGTCCTTTATCTCCAGCTGATGTCACCGAAACGTTATGAAATTGAGGTGAAATCTGACTAACATTTTTCTGACAGCAAATCTGACTAACGTTTTCTGACAGCAAATCTGACTAACGTTTTCTGACAGCAAATCTGACTAACGTTTTCTGACAGCAATCTGACTAACGTTTTCTGACAGCAAATCTGACTAACGTTTTCTGACAGCAAATCTGACTATTTCTGACAGCAAATCTGACTACGTTTTCTGACAGCAAATCTGAACTAACGTTTTCTGACAGCAAATCTGACTAACGTTTTCTGACAGCAAATCTGACTAACGTTTTCTGACAGCAAATCTGACTAACGTTTCTGACAGCAAATCTGACTAACGTTTTCTGACAGCAAATCTGACTAACGTTTTCTGACAGCAAATCTGACTAACGTTTTCTGACAGCTACAGATTTTCCCTTATCCAATAACCATAACAACGGATTTTGTTCAGTCCGGTCTTTTCAAATAACCTGAGATTTCGTGTTTGATTTCTTAATCCTTAATATCTTTGATTGGCGAAACTTTTTTTGGCAAAGAATTAGCCTTGTGCTTCGCTAGGCCCATAAAATCTGTTCGAAGTTACTTATGTTTTACTTATTTGCAGATTTAGTTTCATGTAAATAATTTCCTTGTTAATTCCTCTCTTCTAACACAATTTTTTATTGTTGTTTTTATCATACTTTCCTTGCCTTGTTAACTCGCATTCTAAAACGACAAAACTACTTGCATAAAGTGAAGACATAAACAAAATTCGAAAAGCTAAACCGTTAACGTTTTTTTTTCCCGCCTTTTCTCGAGCTCCGTAAATTTCCCGCCAAAAATTCTCCAACTAAGGCACGTTCGCCAGCAGCTTTCCAGGTATATCTGAATTTATACCCCGACTCGTAAACAACTTTCTTTGTCTGCTCCATTAACTAGCCGAAAAGTGCATTGAAAATGTGCATTATACGATCTGTTATAATGGGGCTGTATGTTACGGCGTTGTACGGACGAAAACGCCAAGACTCCATTTGGAATTTTATTATAATTCGCAGGCTAAAATAAGGCTTTCTCCTTAAACGCAAACCCTTCTTTTCTTAAGCGAAAGAACCGCTTCCGTTAATATTCTCATGTGTATTCTCCATTCCCCTTTTACACTGCTTTTATATCTCCCCCTTTCCTTTTCTCTAGCATTTTCACCAAACCCAAGAAATTAAAACAGTGCAAGTAAATGTTACACTCACAGACGTAAGTTTCCTGGAATTCACACTTACACTTTCCGTTATAAAAACCTTTGGACCAAATGAAGACGTTCTGGGCCGCATCCGGGACTTTCCGTGATGACGTCACCCGCGAGCCGTTACACACAGGACAAACTTGGGAGAGAAAATGGAACCGGAACTTACCTTGGGTTGCTGTTGGTACCTCTGGGTCGCGGGCGGGCGCCTGGGGAGAGTGTAATGAGGGGTGTGGGCGTGAGCATGGGCGTGGGCGGCCGGGTGGGCGTTCGACCTGCGGCCCAAACGGTCCAAAGAGGCCGTTCTTAGCCCGCCCACTGAGTGGTCTGAATCACTCGAACTTTTGGTCTGTTTCCGGTCAGGTGTTTGTGCGGGCGCGAAAGTGTGTGTGTGTGTGCGTGTGCGTGCGTGTGAGTGTACGTGTGTTTTGTGTGTGTGTGTGTGTGTGTGTGTTTTGTGTGTGCGTGAGCGTGTGTGTGTGTGTGCGTGCATATGCGTATGCACATACGGGTATGCGTGTGTTTGTGCATGTCACCAAGACATAAAAAAAAATACCAAATGAAATATATTTAAAAAAACACAAAGAACAAGACATCATATCGTACCCCGGAATAAATTTAGTTGTTGTCGTTGTTAATTTTTTTTGCGTCGAGTCCAATGGGCGGCCGCATCGTGGGCGTCGAGGTTGAGGTACATGCAAAGAAGAAGATGAAGAACCGAGTTAGTACGGGCTTTAAAAAAAAAAAAAAAAAAAAAAAAAAAAAAAAAAAAAAAAAAAAAAATATGCTCGTTACCCTCCCTCTCACAGAACATACACAGACGAATGGAATGAACATAGTATAGCCATTCTGGAGTATATCAGATATGTTTCCCTTCCGTGAATTATATCTGATATTCAGTCAATGGAATCGTAATATTGCCGTCTTGATGGGTTTGAATTTCTGAGGAAAATAATACATCAAGGCATTCACCATAAGTCACGAAACACATAATTTTAAATCATATATATATATATATATATATATATATATATATATATATATATGTATATATATATATATATATATATATATATATAATATTACATATATTTACACATATCTATGGATATATATACAGTATGTACACACACATATCAAGTGTTTAAAATAAAAGAGATGTTCCCCAGTCATAATTTGGTGTGCAATAAGATAAATATTCCTAACCAGTCAAAGGGAAATACACCTTTAATGCAGTAGAGTAGAAAACGTAACTACAGACTATTTTTGAAAAAGGTGATGAGAGAGAGAGGGTGGGCCGGGAGGGGGGGGGTGAGGAGGGAGGGAGGGAGGGGAAGAAGAGCGGAGGAGGGAGGAGAGGAGGAAAGGGAGGGAGGGGGGGCGGGAGGTGGAGGGAGGAGGAGGGGCAGAGAGCGGAGGGATGGAGGAGGGAGAGGAGAGAGGGGGAGAGGGAGGGAGGGAGGGAAAGAAGTGGGATGGAGGGAGGGAGGCAGGAGGGAGGAGGAGGGCAGAGAGCGGACGGAGAAGGTGGGAGGCAGGGGAAGGAGGGAGGGAGGGAGGGAGAGAGGGAGAGGGCAGAGAGCGAGAGGGAGAGAAGGAGGGGGGGAGGAAAGAGTGGATGGAGGTGGAGAAGAAGGGCAGAATAAAACAGGGTGGGGATAAGGCAAGTGGAGGCGCGGCGTTGGGGGTTGGGGGGGAGGGGTTTAAGGCATTTTAATCAAGCGAAGGAGAGTGAAGCATAGTCAACTTAGCATAGTCAGCTAGTGCTCTTGGTTGTGGCGGTCTTTTTGCGTGGAATATCTTGGGTTCTGGCTCTTTTTTTTTTTTAGAGAGAATATACTTGATTTGGTGAAATGTGCTGTTGTTGTATTATATCATTATACAACAACACAATATTATACAATATTATTATCAATATGAAGGACAGTGGAGAAAGGAGAGTTTGTGTGTGTGTGTTTGTGTGTGTGTGTGTGTGTGTGTGTGTGTGTGTGTTGTGTGTGTGTGTGTGTGTGTGTGTGTGTGTGTGTGGTGTGTGTGTGTGTGTGTGTGAATGTGTGTGTGTGTGTGTGAAGGAAAATGTGTATATATATATATATATATAATATAATATATATATATATATATATATATATATATATATATATATATATATAATATATATTATATATATATATAATAAAGAGAGATAGAAAGAGAGAGGGGGTAGAAAGAGAGACATGGCGAGACAAAGAAAGAGAGAGAAAAAGAGAGATAGAGGTAGAGAGAGAGAGAGTATGATACGAGAGCGTCCAAACAAATTACATTATAAAACACTGTTGTAAATAATAACAATAGACAGATTTATGTAGGATGTACTAGATCTATCTCCACCACTTAAATGAAATTGCTAAAAAAAAAGCTCTAAAATCAATCATATTTAAAAAAAAAATTCTACTTTGTATATTTACTATGTACATGTCCCTCACCCTGGCTGACCTGTGCCAACAAAAGGTCAGGTGGTGAGCTCAGTGAGGGGGGAGGGGGGGGGTAATTAAGTGGTCAGTTTTAAGGGGAGCTCTCAAGGGGAGTGGTGGAGTAGGGGAGTAGGGCTGATAGGGAGGGGTTAAGGGAAGCTTTTAGTCTGTCTGTTCAGTAACCATATATTGGGGTCTATCTATTTCAGAAACATTTACCATGGACAGATACATAGAGATAAAACTAGCATTATAAAACTGAAATAACAAGAACATAGTCAAAACATTTATCATATATACACACACATATACGCATATTCTTTATGTATATATATATATAAAAACCAAATAACGACTTAGATATATTATTTATCTTAATCAGCATGACATGCGCATGCCCATATAAGGTATCAATGTATCACAGGAAATAAAATCCACAATATGTAAATATATACGTAAGCCTTACCATCGAAACCATTTGGGGAAAAAAACCTTCACAATCATAATAAACACATAAACTAATAGACATCATATGACCCACATAATATGAGGTATAAATCTAACACCACACACATGCCTTCTAATTTTGACATCTATGGATCATCGCACGAGAATTGTCCTTCTTTTTTAAATGCGTGGAATAGACACAGGGTGTCCTCTGTGTGGGGGGTTGGGGTTGGGGGTGAGGGGGGTGTTGGTACCCCTGCCGCCGGGCCTGGGAGGTCGTGGAGCGCCCCTTTGACCTGCGAGGTGCCAGGGTACAGTCCCTGAGTACGGGCTAGGATACAGTGACTTGGATACTGTCGCTAGGATACAGTGTCTAGGAGAGAGAGGGGAGAGAAAGAAAGAGAGAGGAGAGGGGGGGGAGGGAGAGAGGAGAGGTGAGAGAGAGAGAGAAAGAGGTGGGGAGAGCGAGAGAAGGGAGAGGAGAGAGAGAGAGAGAGAGAGAGAGAGAGAGAGAGAGAGAGAGAGAGAGAGAGAGAGAGAGAGAGAGAGAGAGAGAGAGAGAGAGAGACAGTGAGAGAGAAGAAAGAAAGAGAAAGAGAGAGAGAGAGAGGAGAGAAAGAGAGAGAGAGAGAGAGAGAGAGAGAGAGAGAGAGAGAGAGAGAGAGAGAAGAGAGAGAGAGAGAGAGAGAGAGACAGAGAGAGACAGACAGAGCTAGAGTGAGTGAGAGAGAGAGAGAGAGAGACAGACAGACAGAAATAGAGACAGAAAGAGACACAGAGAGAGAGAGACAGATACAGAGAGAATGAGCGAGCGAATAAGTGAGTCCGTCGTTGGATAAGACTAAACAATTTAAAAAGTTAAATCACGAGTAGAGGAAAGGGACTTACTCCACCTTTTTTCACAACACCGTGACTTGAAAGTGGATTTTTTAAAGTATATTTATTATGGCTTAAGGGGGGGCGGGGAGGGGAGAAAAAAAGGGGGGGGGGTAGGGAGATCCGTCGCTGAGACCCCAATAAATGGTGCCAATTATCATGCAACGGAAACTGGGCCGTCATGATAGATAAATAGATAGATAAACATATTATATATAATATCACGAATATATATACATATTCATTTATTTTATTATTCTGATCAACTTATATATCCAAGGAGAGATTATTTGACACGTTAATTGACACAGATTTCGACCCTACACAAGCCCAGGTCAAGAGTGAAAGGGGAAATACACGGGGAGACAAATAAGGACATTGCCCCGGGGGTCAGGTTTTAGCCCCGCCTTCTTGACCTCGTCTGCAGAGAAGCTTCGCGTTCATCTACAAAGAGAGTTTTAAAAATGAATACTGGATTCAGGAGGGCGTCCTCGGGGGTGGGGGTGGGGGGTTGGGGGGGGGGAGAGACGGGGGGGGGGACATTACACTGAATACACAAATAGGGGATTTTTTTTTTTTTTTTTTTTTTTTTTTTTAGAGGGGGTGGGGGGGGGGTTGTAGGGAAATATCCAACTTTGATTTTTTTTTTTTTTTTGCCGAAACTAACTAACCTGATAGTGCATATCCTGAAGCATTTCGAGCCCCCACTAGCGATGAAAATTGAGAAAAAAAAATAAATATAAAAATTAAATCTGATGTGAACCTTTTCTTCGGTGGACAATATACGTAAACAGTTGCTGCAGAGAAAGTCAATAAAAAAAATAATTCAAAAGAATCAATCAAACCAAACCGATATCCATCAATTCAAAAAAGAGAAAACCAAAAAAAAAAAAAAAAAACTGGATTAATTCAATACGTTAAACCATACTTACCATCTCCCTAACGATACCAGAACACTAATGAAATATGTACAACGAAATATGTACAACGAACATCCAACACAACGTTACATTCCTTTCCATCATTTAGTTTCATTAAAAGCAAACCCAAAAACCACCTGTGCTTGTTCGCCTTAATATCCGCTCACGTAATATATATTTTCCTTGGAATGTAGATTAAAAGAAGGCTATATTTAGCGGGGAATATCAAAATACATCTTTTGATATTCATTAAGATTAATCTCATTTGGCTTCAGTCTTGTGAGAAAGGAGGAGATGCGTGAGAGAGAGGAACGAAGGGGGATGGATAGAGAAAGAGAGAGAAAGAGAGGGACACAGAGAGGAGAGAAAAGAGAGAGGAGAGAGGGACAGAGAGAGAGAGGGGTGGGGGAGGGACAGAGAAAGGAGAGAGGCAGACAGAGAGAGAGAAAAAGAGGAGACACAGAGAGAGAGGAACGAAGGGGGATGGATAGAGGGAGGGGGAGAAAGAGAGAGAAAGAGAGGGACAGAGAGAGAGAGAGAAGAGACAGAAGAGAGGACAGAGAGAGAGGAGAGGGGGGGGGGAGGGACAGAGAAAGGAGAGAGGCAGACAGAGAGAGAGAGAAAGAGGAGACACACAGAGAGAGAGAGAGGAACGAAGGGGGATGGATAGAAGGAGGGAGAGAAAGAGAGAGAAAGAGAGGGACACAGAGAAGAGAGAAAAGAGAGAGGAGAGAGGGACAGAGAGAGAGAGAGAGATGGCAGGGGAGGAGGGACAGAGAAAGGAGAGAGACAGAAAGACAGATAGCGAGAGAAAGAGAAAGAGAGAGAGAAAGAGGAGACACACACGCGCACAGAGAGAGAGAGAGAGAGAGAGAGAGAGAGAGAGAGAGAGAGAGAGAGAGAGAGAGAGAGAGAGAGAGAGAGAGAGGAAGGGCGGAAGGAAGGATGGGGAGAGATAAAGAAAGAAAGAGAGAGAAGGAGAGAAAGAGAGAGAGAGAGAGAGAGAGAGAGAAAGAAAAAAGAGAAAAGGCAGATAAAAAGAGTCAGAGCAATGAGAGAGAGAAAGTGAAGAAGAGAGAGATATAGATAGAAAGAGAGAAAGAGAGGACAGAGAGTAAAAAGAGTGAAGAAAAAAGAGAGCCAGAGAGATGAGAGACAGACAGAGAGAGTTGGCAGAAAGGAAGAAAAAAGCGCAGGTCGGTAAAAATGAATTCTAGATCAAGTGCACTCGGAGATAATCAGATGGACAGGCCTTCTTTAAGCATTCTAATCTTAATCATCTTTTTTCTTTTCTTTCTTTCTTTTTTTTGAGCAACGGACAGGATTCAAACACAAGCTTCGACGAGGACCGACACGGCAGCGCATTTGGGCCGAGTTGTACCTTGAACTGGACGGTCCGGTAGGTCGGGTTCGGCTCGAACACCTCGTCCTCGATCTCCTCCTGGATGGTGGGATGGGCCGAGGGGAACAGGCGGTACGTCCACCGCTGGTTGACGTACATCGACTGCACGTCGGGCGGGCAGTACGACAGCCGCTCAATCACCCAGTTCTTGACGGCCGCCTTGGCCAGCTCGCGCTCGGCCGTCTGTCTGCGGCCACGGCTGCGCCCCCGCTGCTCTCGGCCGGGCGGAGGCGCCTGGCGGTACTGCGGCAGCTCGGCGAGGGCGAGCGACCACCGCCGCGGCTTCGGGACGGGGTCGTACAGCAAGGGCATCGCGGAGGGCTGCGGGTGGGCGAGGGAGCTCCTCTGGCCTGGACGGCCCCTGTCGAGGGCGGAGGGCCAGGGGATGGGCGCGGGCGGCGCGGCGGGCGCCCCCTGCTGGGTCAGCCCCGGGTACAGCGGGCGGAACTGCGTCTTCTGGATGATGGAGCCGTACACCTCCTGCTGGCGGTCCGGCGTCTCGTGGCGCAGGACGACCGAGGTCAGGGAGCTGGCGCGGTGCATGTACTCGGTGTGGCGGGCCTGCTGCCTCCGGGCGCGGCGGGGGCGGGGCCGGGGGGGCTGTGGGGGCGGGGCCGCGGGGGCTGCGGGACGAGCGCGGAGTTGAGTGGCTCGAGGAGGGGGCTCGAGGGCGAGTGCTGGCTGAGGCCCGACGTCAGCTTCGTGGTGGGCGACCTCGGCGGCGGCGCGGGCTTGGAGGTCGACCTCCGTGCTTGGAGAGGGTCTCCGACAGGGCGGGCGCCGAAGTGGAGCCTCGCCCTCGGGTCGTGCGCGTGGGCCCGAACTCCGACACGGGCGAGATGTTGTCGTTCTCGTGCGGCGGAAGGCTCGCCGGCCGCCGCCTCGCCGACGACAGCGACGAGTCCGTGGACGACGTGGAGGTGACTCGGGCGGCGGGCTTGTGGTCGCTGGCGCCGAGGGCCTCGAGGTCGATCCCCAGCTCCTTCAGCACTTTCTCGTTGTGCTTCACGAGGTGATCGTCGATGATCGGCTGCAGGGCGCCGGTCGGGACGGCGACGTCGGTGCCGGCGGCGCGGGGCTCGCTGTGGCTGCGCTGGACCCGCTGGTGCTGCCTCACCACCACCGGCGACGCGCGCTTCTCGCTCTGCGTTCTCCGCGCCGCCGTGTGCACGGAGGCGGCGTTCCCTTCGGGCAGCGAGTCTAGGGAAGACTTGGACTCCGCCTCGGGGCTCGCTGGCTGCGGGGCCTCTGAATGTTCTGGGGCCGCGCGCGCGCGCTCTTCTTGCTTGGACTCGTCGGCGTTGTCGTCCTCCTCGTCCCTTCGCGTCGGGCTCGTCCGGAAGGAACTCATGTCTCCGACCTCACGCGGAGGAGGCGGCGACTGGTAGATGGGTCGTGGCGGCCCAGGGCGGTCGTAGTCATTGACAGTCTCCGTGCTCTCCTCCGGCAGAGTGTCCTTCTTCCTTCCAAACTTGTGCTTTACTTTTTCTTTAAGAATTGGCTTGTCAGTTACCGAAGCAGACCTCTGCCTGGCGGCGTTCGCAGTCGCGCTGCTGACGTTCCTTGCGTTCACGTCTGAGGCTGATCGATTCCTGGCGAAGCCCTCCAGCGCCTGCATGTCCTTCTGCCGTGCGGAGCTCCTCCTCGCGAAGATTTCCGTCGGGGTCAAGACGTCGTACACGGGGGAGGTCACCCTCCCTCGGCGACTGCTCTCTGCGCTGTCCCATCCCGTCGGGGCGGCGGCGTCGGTCGTGTCCAGCTTCGGCAGGCTCGGGGCTTCCTTCTTCCCTTCCTCCTGAGACGGTCGCCTGGATTCCCGGCGCTCCTCCTCCCCGTCCTCGATTCCTTGATAGATATCGAATCCTTTGTACTGTTCGTTCGTGTACGCTTTGTCCTCGCGCGACCTGTCCGCCGAGCGCCTCCCGCCGCCGGCCCTCTGGACGAGCGACTGCGTCCTTCTTATCAGCTTTATGTCGGGCTCCTGTTTTCGCTTCCCTTTCTTGGGCTTCCTGGTCCGCGAGTCGCCTGGGGCGGCGGCCCCCTGCCCTGCGGCGCCCGCCCCCTCCCTCGTCAGCTCCTCCATTTCCTCCGCCGTCTGGCTCCGCTTCAGCCCGAGAGAGCTCGCCGACCTCGACTCCGGCGTGATGTTAGGGGCGAGGGGTCCGGGCCGAGAGAGATCGGGCGCCGCTTGTCTCCCCGAGAGATGGCTCGCGGAGAGGGCGCGTCTCTCCCGCCGTGACGAAGAGCTCCTCTCCCTCTCGGCGCCCTCCAAGATGCTCTCGCTCGACTTGGCTTCCTTGCGCAACTCCTCGGACGACTTGACGTCCCTCCAGTACCCCTCCTGCGTGTGGAGCAAGTCGTCGTTCGAGAAGAAGTCCCTCATGCTCTCCCTCGGCGTGAAGAAAATATCCTCCGCCGAGTCCTGGCTCTTGGCGATCCCGTCCGGCGTGCTCTCGACGGCCTCCAGGGACGCCAGCCCCTTCCTCGCGAGTCTCCCCCGCTTCCCCGACCGCCGCGAGCCGCCCCTCTCGGCTCCCCCGCCCGGTTTGAGGGCCTTGTGGGCGAGGGACGGGCTCGAGGCGCTCCTGTGCACCCACCACTTCCAGAAGGGGACGTACTTTCTGTCCGCTTCGCTCATGACGGAGGATCGAGCTCGGCGGAGAGGTATGGCTTCTAGAACGGAGGCGGGGCGGGGTGAAGTGCGGGCGGGATAGTGAGGATAATAATGACGGTAATGACGGAAGTAACGAAATAATGATAATAAGAATACTAATAGTAACAAAAAATAATAATAATAATAACAAAATAATGACAATTATAATAACAATAAAAGTAATAATAATTATGATGATAGTATTACCATCACTGTTATTGTTAATAATAACAACAGTAATAAAAACAAAGTGATAAATATTATATTGTAATAGCGACAATAATAACAGAAACAACAATCACAAAGTAAAAAAAAAAAAAAATCACCAATCAAAAAAGTAACAATTTATCAAACAGATTTTTCGATTTTGAGGTAATACGTAATTTTAACCATCCGAGAGATGTATTTGACCGGTTTCGAATAAGATATATTCGAAACCGGCCAAACGCTTCTCTTGTATTGTGAAGATATTCGTTCTCACTCATACCCTATCTTCATTTGTCAACGTGAATACGGTTCATTAATGATAATAACAATAATAGTGATAATAACAATAATAATAATAATAATAATGACAATATAATAGTAGTAGTAGTAATAATAATAATAATGATAATAATAATGATAATGATAATAATAATAATAATGATAATAATGATAACAATAATAATAATAATGATAATAATAATAATGATAATAATGATAATAATAATAATGATAATAATAATAATGATAGTAATAATAATAATAATACCAAAAATAGCAAGTTTCGGGACACACGAAGCACGAGCGGTCACTTTTTTTCTTCGTCGCTGCGGGAGAAACAAAAACAAAGCAAAGTGGTGGTGATGGTATTGGTAATGGTAGCGACTGCGGTGGTGGTATGGGTGGCGGTAACGGAAGCAGCGGCGGTGGTATCGGAAACGGAGCGGCGATGGTGGCTTTGGTAACGGTAGCGACTGCGGTGTAATTGGTATCGGTAACGGTAGCGACTGCGGTGTTGGTATTGGTGGCGGCAACGGAAGCAGCGGCGGTGGTATCGGTAACGAAGCGGCGATGGCGGCTTTGGTAGCGCCTTCAGTAATGGTAATAAAGAAGTTTGCTCAAATCTGCTCAAGACCGAGATCTTGGCTGGAGATCCACTTTCCAACTTTCGTCCGGCAGAGCAGAAAAAGCTTCCAAGTTAGTTACGAAAGGGAAGAGGCGAAAAAAAGACAAAAAGAGAGACAAAGAAAAAGAAAAGATAATAGGAGAATAATCTTATATAATTCAGTTTTCGGAAGTTATAATTTCTACATCACACTACCGAAGGATGTCGTGGATTCGCCGCGATAAAGTTTCTTACTCTTCCGAATATAAAATAGTTTTGTTTTGTATCTTGACGTTTTTTGTTGTTGTTTTTTCCAAAGACTTTACTGTCAAATATCAGATAATCATCTTAATCGTCTTGATAACGAAGCTAAACTTTGCATAATATAATTAATTCAGTAACTTCACGACACCGCCTGTTGATACGAATACATATATTAATTAACAGTTGCAATAAAAGCTTTCGAGGCGAACACGTAGACCCCATTATAGAGTTCGAAAAATGAGAAAAGTATTAACGATATGATAACCCAGGATCCATTTACAGTTCATGTATCTAAGTTGTTATTTGCATAAAGCTTCGTATTGTTATATTCGCTTAGAGGGACCGTGTTATTGTTTACGTAATGTTCTATAGTGGTATATAGCGTGTATAGTTGCTAAAAATTCCTTACTGTTATTTGCATTTAGTTCCATATTATTTGCTTAATGTTCTAAATGGCAACAGAGAACGCAAATCCATTTAATTTCTTCTAAGTTCAACGCAAAGTATGAATTCAGAATTAAAAGAGAAAACAAATATGTCTTTCTGCAAACTTCACACTGGATTTTGCTTCACGTACAGCCCGCACACTAATCTCTCGTCTACGCGTATGTAAATCACCATAATTCTTGGCCACTCTCCAAGAGCAGATGGCGTTGTCTGTTTCTCTCTCTCTCTCTCTCTGTCTGTCTCTCTCTCTGTCTGTCTGTCTGTCTGTCTGTCTCTCTCTCTCTCTCTCTCTCTCTCTCTCTCTCCTCTCTCTTCTCTCTCTCTCTCTCTCTCTCTCTCTCTCTCTCTCTCTCTCTCTCTCTCTTCTCTCTTCTCTCTCTTTCTTTCTCTTCCCCTTCCCTTTCGTCTTTTTCTTTTCTTTCTCCTTTTCTATCCCTCCATCTTTCTTTCGACTGGAATATATTTCGTATTCTCTTTCTCTCTCTCTCTCTCTCTCTCTCTCTCTCTCTCTCTCTCTCTCTCTCTCTCTCTCTCTCTCCTCTCCTCTCTCTCTCTCCCTCCTCTCCTCTCCTTCCTTCCCTCCTCCTCCCTTCCTTCCCTCCTTCCCCTTTCCCTCCCTCCCCTTCCTCCCTTCCCTCCTCCTTCCCTCCCTCCCCTCCTTCCCCTCCCTTCCTCCCTTCCCTTCCCCTTCCCCCCTTCCCTTCCCTCCTTCCTTTCCTTCCCTCCCCTTCCCCCCTTTCCTCTTCCCCCTCCCCTCCTCCCCCTTCCCTTCCCCCTTCCCTCCCCTCCCTTCCCTCAGCCAGCCCCGTCGGGTACAAACAGCAGATCATAAACCTGTCTCTTTGGCAACTTCTCGCGAAATCATTTCACCTGAGTCAGAGACGGTGCCTCTCGTGGCACCCATTGATTGCGTGACAGGCTGGCGGGGAGGTGCCAGTACATCAGCGGGCAATGGGACTCCCTTCCCCCCTACCCTACTACCCTTCCTCCTTCCCCCTTCACTACCCTTCCTCCTGTCCCTACTAGTACCCTTTCTCCTTCCCCTGCTCACTATCCTTCCTCCTTCCCCTACTCACTGCCCTCCTTCCTCCTACCCACTATCCTTCTCTTTCCCCTACTCACTGCC